ACTCTTGCGTAACAGAGTCACCACCCCATTACTCACCGGAAGAGGAGCTCGACAACAGGACGCCTCGTCGCGAATCACTCCATCCAAATCCGACTTACGCCGCTATCGCTCAAAGTGAACCGTCCGGCCAAGACACCTGGTTCTTGGACAGTTGCTGCGGGCAACACATGTGCTCGTCCGGGCGTTTCGTACAACGCGAACATCGACTCCAACGGGAAGTGATCATCACGGTTGCCAACAACCAAAACCTGCGCACACGAAGACAAGGAGTGGTACAGCTTCAGTCAAGAGAAACAAATGTCATACTGCACATGTCTAAGGTACTCATCGCTGAAGGACTCGGCTACAACTTACTGAGCGTTAGCCAGTTGATGGCGAAAGGAATTCATCTGGAAGCCGACAGCACGACCCAGGAGTTCAAGCTTTACCACGGGAGAGGCGGTCTCTACATCGGAAAAGCAGTGCTGAAGAACAACGTCTTCGTCCTCGACTTCGTTCCTGACCTCGGCACTGCAGACAGCGACGCCATTGTGAACTTTGCTGATTGGACACACCCTCCGGATCTCGACCCCGACTTCAGCCCGGGAGGTTTCTGGTACTCCCACACTATCCCTGAAGCAGAACGAACAAGAGCGTTAGCAACGATTCAACAAGAAGCAGAGACAACAACATCGGCAGCAGCAACAACATCGACAGCAGCAACAACATCGGCAACAACAACAACATCAGCGGCAGCAGAAACAACGACACCAGTCACAGTCGACGAAGCACCACCAACACCCGCGCAACAGCTGAATCCGACTGAGCGTGAAGTCCACCGAAGCGCCAACCTCGTCGCCAGCTTTTACTCCAACTCCGACGCATATCAGCGTTCACCCGGACACCGCGCCTCTGAAGAGATCTGGCACGCACGCACAGGACATCCAAGCAACACGGTTTTGAATAACACGATAAGAGCAGGAGTCCTCGACAAAGACTCTCTACTTCTACCCGATGGCAGAGAACTCCAGAAGGCACGAGGGACTTGCCTTATATGTCCCGAAGCTGACTTACCTCATCGACCGTTTGCTTCACATCACAACCCGAGCGCTCCAGCGTACGCACCACTCGAAAAAGTCTACAGCGACATCCTCTACAATCGCGAACCAGGACAAGTCAACTACAACTACACCATCACCTTCATCGACGCTGCCACTCGATACGTCTGGCATCGCAACCTACCCAGCCGCGACATGGCGCTCGCAGCATTCGCCGCCTGGCTACCGATAGCAGAGAGAGAGTCTGGAACACAACTGAAAAATTTCCAGTCAGACGGAGGTGGCGAGTACACCTCTCAGCGCTTCAAGCAGTTCTTGGCGGAAAGGGGGATCAAGCAACTCCTCTCCCTTCCCTACGCACATCAGCAGCAAGGTGTTGCAGAACGACTGAACAGGACCCTGCAGAACAGCATGCGCAAACTGTTACGTGGCATGCGGCTACCCAACCACCAGTGGCCAGCAGCAATGGACCACGCTGTCATGCTGCACAACTTGTTGTCGTCGTCGTCACTCCCGAACAACGCATCACCGCATCTGTTGTGGACAGGGAAGCAGGGCAGCACGAAAATGTTACGAGTTTTCGGGTGCATGGTACAGTACAGACCCCCAGAAGCACGAGCGGGAAGATTTTCGCAACGGGCACAGTGGGGACTACACCTCGGCATCGAGAAAAATTACAACGCATGGAAAATCTTCGACGTCCACACAAAGGAAACAGTAGCAGCACGTGACGTGATCTTCTACGAAAGACTCACCCTTCAGACGTACCTCGCCAACTTGCACGAGAATCGGGACCTCACCAGTGGTTTTCGTGGTGACCGAGCCTTCGCGTCAGCAGCGGACGAAGCAGACTGGGATGAACAGAACGTCGACAACGCCTCAGAAGAAGCCGGACCTCTCCCATACTGCTCCGTCGACGTGCCCATGGATGAGGATAATCCTCGCGACAGTAACAACGCCGAAATCTTCTACCGTTTCGCCGACGATGGTTACGTAACACCTGTGACAGTCAACACCAACGAAGCAGAAAGGGTAGGGCCAAATTTCATGCCCGACCCAGAAACGGGAGACGAAGCAGCTTATCCCGAGGATCCAGAACTCCCTCGATACTCACAGACTGGGCTGCAAATCCTTGGTCTCGTCACCGCAGTCCATGGCGCCGGCATTCCTGAGGAGCCTGCGACGGTTCAGCAGGCTCTGGGGGTGGAACACAGGGAGAAATGGCGTGAAGCTATGGACAAAGAGCTGAAGGCACTGGAGGAGCGCAACACCTGGAAAATTGTTCCCATCGGCGTAACTCAAAATAAAAACATTCTTACCGGAAAATGGGTCTTCCGTGTGAAGACGAAAGCTGATGGCACCATCGACAAATTCAAAGCCCGCTGGGTCGTACGTGGCTTCGACCAGGAGCACGGAAGAGATTACACCGAAACCTTCGCTCCGGTCAGTCGCCACACCTCACTCCGAATCCTCATCGCCGTCACCGCCATGAAGAAAAAGAAATTACGACAAATCGACGTTGCGAACGCATTTCTCTACGCACCTGTGGATGCAGAAATCTTCGTTGAACTCCCGCACGGCTCCCACGGCGAACCCAACCGAGTGTGTCAACTACTCAAATCACTCTATGGGATCAAGCAGGCACCGCGACTGTGGCAGCAGTACCTACACGCCCGCCTCATCCGCATCGGCTTCAAACAACTCCCGCATGACCAGGGCATGTATCGCCTCACAAAAGGAGGCGATTACGTCCTATTAATCGTCTATGTGGACGATCTTCTCTACATTGGGTCAACCGACAACATCGCCGCGTGGTTCGAAGGGGAGCTCCAGAAAGACCTCACGCTCACGGTCTCTTCTACGGTTACGCAATACCTCGGGCTCAACATCCGTGAGGAAGAAAACGCAATCTACCTAAGCGCCGAGAAGTACGCCGACACTATCGCGAAACGCTTTCGTCTCACACCAAGCGCCATCTCCACGCCTTATCGCTACACGTCAGGAACCGAAAAGGGGCAATCTACTCTACTTAAACCCGCCGGCATACGCGACTATCAGAAGAAGCTAGGATGCCTTCTTTTCGCAGCAGTCACGTGCCGTCCCGACCTATCCTACTCCGCGAGTCAGCTCGCTACCTATCTCAAGAGACCTGAAGCAGAGCATCTGGCGGAACTCGATCGTGCTCTCCACTACTTCGTCAGCACCGCGACGATCGGACTAACTTATCACAAAAACGTGACTACACCGACCAAACTAATCGGCTACGTCGACGCCGATCACGCCGGCGACACCGACAACAGGCGCTCACGCACCGGCTATGTCTACCGCCTTGAGCCTATCGGTCCTATCTCCTGGCAGTCAAGCAAGCAGGAGTTAATCGCACTATCTTCAGCAGAAGCAGAATATATCGCACTCTGCTCAGCCACCAAGGAGGGACTTTACCTTCGCGAACTACTGGAAGAAGCGAAACTAGCCGAGTTACCCAGCTTCACCGTGTTCTGCGACAACCAGTCGGCAATTCGCATCGCCAACAAAAACGGCTTCGCAAACAGGACGAAACACATCGCCCTGCGCTATTTCTTCGTGAAGGACGAGATAGAAAAAGGGAAACTCGATCTGTCATACTGCCCAACATCCGAGATGGCAGCCGATTACTTGACCAAGAAACTCGGAAAGCAGAAGTTCGAATACTGCATGATGCTGACTGGACAAGGCCACGTCACCAGCAGCGACACTCCAGAAGCGAAGGGGAGTGTTGGAAACAATAAGTCCTAAGTGCGCTTCTGTCGTATCAAACCCAAGGCACCAAGCGAAGCAGTCCCAATCGAAGCATCGAGTCAACCTCGGAGGTTAGGGTAACCGCCTGGAGGTTACGAGAAAGTCAAAGGTCGCTGACCTTTGACTCGACAATCACAGCGCGACAGTTAAGGACACACAACTGACTCGTTACAGAGCAGTTGCCCGAGTCGCACTGTATCGAACCGCAACAGCAATACAGTTATCTACCTATCTATTCGTATTCCCTGTACTCTTATATAAATCCTTGTATTTGCTTGTTTAATTTAATCTACTTTGCTCTCACACACCAGTGCAAGGTCGGTTCACAATCCTCATTAAACGCTTCCGCTATTACAAGTTTCTACCCAAGAGTTCTCCTCTGCAAAGATCCTAAGGGCTATTTCTCAGCCCAACAACATCAACCTCCGAGGGTTGACTCGCTGGTGTTTCGATATGCGCTGCTTCGCTTGTGTCTTGGTGTTTCGACATGACAGAGGCGCTTAGGACTGTTTGTTCCCAACAACGACCACGTGCACCTGGACGTCCGAAAATGCCAACTTTGCGAGGGAAAGGATCCCACACATCGAAACCACGCCCCTGCTCGGAGGTTGAAAATACGGGTGTACTGTCACCCAGTCAAATGCACACAACTGTACATCTCTTTTTTATCGCAGCCAATGAAACGTGTCCAACTGAACCTGCCAATCTGTCACCCTACGTCGCGGTACATTCGATGTTTGTGACACAACATTGGGAAAATTAACAGGCGCGACTCGGGAAAACGGGGATTGAGACACAAGTGTCCCCACATGAATGTACCCTGATAAAACCTACATACTATGCACGTCCAGGGAGGGTCTGATAAATCAGAAATGCATGGCATGAAACCCCCCACCAGTATTGTTCTTCTACCATCATCTACGCTCCTTTTGATCCTCCAGCTGCTGTGATTGCGCCGCTGCTGCTGCTGCTCCAATCCTCCTCAGCCTGCTCATAAGCACAGCCCCTGCCCCCTGGTCCAAGGAGTCATGCCACTTGAACATCTCCTGTGGCACGAGCAGGAGGGCAGAGGAGTGGGGAGTGGGAAGTAAGGAGAGGGGAACGGTGAGCTGTGGTTGTGCTGCCGCTGCTCCAATCTTCCTCAGCCTGCTCATGAGAACCGCCCATGCCCCCTGGTCCAGGGAGTCATGCCACTTGAACATCTCCTGTGGCACGAGCAGGAGGGCATGCGAATGGGGAGTAAGTGGGGAGTGGGAGGTGGTGAGGAGATAGCAGCTCCTCCCATGCTCCGTCATGCCACTTGAACATCTCCTGTAGCATGACAGCAATGGCAGGGGAGTGGGGAGTAAAGTGGGGAGTGGGGAATGGGGAGCGGTGAGTGGGGAGTGGAAAGTGAAGGAGGGATGAATACTTGTAGATGCACCCTGGCTTGGGGAGCCATACCCTTTGACAATCCCCAGTCCCTCCTGCCCCAGTACTCACCTGCACGAGCCCCATGTTGTGCTGCAGCCGCTCCACGAGCCCCGGCTGATTAAAGACCTCTTGCAGCCTGTGGGGCAGCGAGTCGACAGCCACTGAATCTTGACTTAACCACCCCACCAGTTAACAGTCAAACCTGCCCCAGTCCCAGTGCCCACCTGCACGAGCCCCAGGTTGTGCTGCAGCCGCTCCACCAGCCCCGGCTGCTCAAACGCCTCCTGCAGCCTGCGGGGGAGCGAGTCCACCGCTGCCGGGTCGATGTTGAGCGAAAACACCGCGTAGTTGAGGGCCGAGGGGACAGCTGAGGGTGATGCTGCGTGGTGGTACTGTGAGGCGGCCCAGGGGTTGTCGTTGGCACGGAGGAACGTCACTGGGATGCAGCCTGAGAGGATCGCCTGATGGAAGGGGAGGGCGAGGGAGGGAGAAGAGGAAGAGTTGTTTTGCAGTATTGTGACGCAACGCCTCCTGCAGCCTGCGGGGCAGCGAGTCCACCGCAGCCGGGTCGATGTTGAGCGAAAACACCGCGTAGTTGAGGGCCGACGGGGGAGATGCGCTGGCAGAGGCGGATGCTGCTGCTGCGTGGTGGTATTGTGAGGCGGCCCAGGGGTTGTCGTTGGCTCGGAGGAATGTGACTGGGATGCAGCCTGAGAGGATCGCATGGGAGGGGGGTGGTGGGGGTGGTGGGGGGTGTGGAGAAGAATGAGGAATGGTGGGGGGCAGAATGGTGGTACTGTGAGGCGGCCCAGGCCAGGGGTTGTCGTTGGCACGGAGGAACGTCACTGGGATGCAGCCTGAGAGGATTGCCTGGTGGGGGGTGGTGGGGGGTGGTGGAGGGTGGTGGAGGGGGGAGGAGAGGGGGGGAAAGGAGGGAGAAGAGGGAGGGATTGTGCTGCAGCCTTGGCTTGGCATGAACCCAGGGTTAGAGGAGAGTGAGGGAGGGAGGGAGGGGAGGAAGGGGAGGGAGGGGAGGGAGGGGAGGGAGGGGAGGGAGGGGAGGGAGGGGAGGGGGGGGAGGGAGGGGAAGTGTGGAGGGAGAGGAGGGAGGGGAGGGGTGTGGGCCACGAAGTAGAGAGCACAAGTATGAAAGGCAGGTGGGAGAACGAGGAGGGAGAGTGAGGTGGGAGAACGAGGAGGGAGAGTGAGGTGGGAGAACGAGGAGAGAGAGTGAGGTGGGAGAACGAGGAGAGAGAGTGAGGTGGGAGATTGAGGAGAGAGAGTGAGGTGGGAGAACGAGGAGAGAGAGTGAGGTGGGAGAACGAGGAGAGAGAGTGAGGTGGGAGAACGAGGAGAGAGAGTGAGGTGGGAGAACGAGGAGAGAGAGTGAGGTGGGAGAACGAGGAGAGAGAGTGAGGTGGGAGAACGAGGAGAGAGAGTGAGGTGGGAGAACGAGGAGAGAGAGTGCGGTGGGAGAACGAGGAGAGAGAGTGCGGTGGAGCAAACCCAACCAGGACGCACTGGTTTTGCAAGCTGACCGTGCCAGGAGGAGCTGAAGCAGTCATTCATATCGTTCGAACATTCACCGTGGCCAACCAGGACGCACTGGTTTTGCAAGCTGACCTGGCTAACGCCTTCAATAGCGTTGACCGCCACGCCATAGCGACAGCCTTGAAAGGGTCGCAGCTAGAACCACTGCTGCCATTAGTGAATTTCTCCTACGGCCAGCCTTCCTCACTGCACCTGGACGCAGCCTTTGATCACCCGCCCGCCATTGCTCAGTGAAACTGGGGTCCGCCAGGGGGACCCCCTCAGCCCCCTTCTCTTTGCCGCGGCCATGCACCCAGCTTTGAAAGTTGCTGCAGAGGCACACCCGGAGGTCATCTGCCTGGCCTACGCGGATGACGTTACCTTCTTAGGAGAACCGTCGGCGTGCGCAGCTGCTTTTAACCACTTCACGGGCCACCTTGCAGAAATCGGGCTCAAACACAGTCCCGCCAAGTGCGGGGCATGGTCAAATAGGTCGCCCGCGGATTACCACCTACCTGAGGGAGTTCCACCCAGCAGCGATGGTTTGAAAGTGATGGGCAGCTACATCGGCACCCCCAGGGCTACCTCCACCTTCGTACGATCCAGCCTAGAGGCGATGGGTGCACCGCTGGGGTTGATTGAGCGGATGGAACCGCAGCTGGCAGGACTGCTGCTGTCTCGGTGCATCTCGCGCCGAGTGTCCTACTTGGCCCGCACGACTCCTCTTCCGTCCCTGCCCAAGGAGGAGTGGTCTGAATGCGGGCGGCGACTGCTGGAAACTCTGCGAACGGCATGTGGCATTAACCACCCGCGAGGGGACAAGGAAACATCACGCACTTGGGCGCAGGCCTCTCTCCCCGTGTCGCTCGGTGGCCTCGGGCTGACAGACCCGTCCGTGGAGGGAAGCTATAGCTTCCTCACCAGCTACACACAGGCGCAGCTCCTGCTTGACCCACTCGATAGCGATTGCACCAGCCCACTGGATGCTACACGCGAGCTGAGCTGATGCGCGGCCCCTACACCCAGTCCTCCCCCTTCACCGAATGGCTAGCGGAATGCGAGGAGGAGCTCCCACTGCCGGCCCAAGAAGCTCTGCAAGCAGAGAGAGCGGCCCCAACCGCAGGAAAGCTACAGCACGGGCTGGCCACGGCCATTCAGGGCCAGCGCTACGCGGTGCAAGTGCAGGAGGTGCTTTTGCGTCGACTCAAAAGGGATGAGCCCGAACCCCACCAATGGTCACACGCAGCGGATGCTGTCCCTGTCAGGGTACGGGGCGGGAGAATGGTGAAATGCTGTGCCCCTCCACTCCTCGCTACACCTCGAGGCTCCCCATTATGCCAACGGGCTCCAGTTTCCGCTGGGCCTCCCCTTTGCAGCTCCCAGGGTTTGCAACTGCTCAAAGAAGGTGGAGATCCTTGACAAAAGGCTCCCGAACCACCTACTACGGTGCGGGACAGGGGGGGGGGCGTACCAACACACAACTGCAGGAAAGCTACAGCACGGGCTGGCCACGGCCATTCAGGGCCAGCGCTACGCGGTGCAAGTGCAGGAGGTGCTTTTGCGTCGACTCAAAAGGGATGAGCCCGAACCCCACCAATGGTCACACGCAGCGGATGCTGTCCCTGTCAGGGTACGGGGCGGGAGAATGGTGAAATGCTGTGCCCCTCCACTCCTCGCTACACCTCGAGGCTCCCCATTATGCCAACGGGCTCCAGTTTCGGCTGGGCCTCCCCTTTGCAGCTCCCAGGGTTTGCAACTGCTCAAAGAAGGTGGAGATCCTTGACAAAAGGCTCCCGAACCACCTACTACGGTGCGGGACAGGGGGGGGGGCGTACCAACACACACAACGAACTTAGAGACGAATGCGCACGGATGGTGCGAGATGCTGGCTTTATGGTGCATATCGAAACAGCCGCCTTCAGCCCAGTGGAAGAGAAGAAGGCGGATCTGGCCCTACGCTGCCGCTCTACAGGCGCCGTCTACATCTGTGATGTGACGGTAACAGATCCCATCAGCACCCGCGATGGGAACTCAACCAAGGGACGGGGGTGGGCGGCACGGGAAGCGGCAGATAAGAAACACGGCCTTTGTAAGGACCGCCCAGAGTGGGTGAAGTTTTTCCCACTCGCGGTCGAGACATACGGGTGTCCATGCCCTGAGACGGTTGACTTCCTGAATCTGCTCGCAGAGACGGCCGCAAGGCGGTTTTTTAACGCCGAGCCATCCTCCTACCAAGCTGCCAAGCTCTTACACCAATACCGGCAGCGGTGGTCGGTGGCTCTTCAACGGAGCAGTCGATTGGCTATCTAGAAAAGTGCAGCATAGCGGCAGCGGTGGAAAACCCGCTACTAAAGGCAGTGGGTGAGGCCCCGTCCCTTGGGGACTGCCTCTCGGTTCTTGATCCTGCACTGGATCTTGCTTAGAGGGTGGGGAGCCGAAGAGTGAATAGGAAGTGGAATATGCATTAGACCTACGCGCGTGATGCCTTTACATTGCATGTCTGTACACTTTTGACAATCAATGAAAGGGCCATTAGAGTGAGGTGGAAGCCCACCTTGGTCAGCTGGAAGGTCCACTGGGTGCAACCAGGCAGTACGAGACAGACAGACCCTGCCATTCGTACAAAGAGTAAACCAGTTGCCGCCCACCTGACCCATCCCCCGTGATCAGCTAGGAGCTTACCTTGGCCAGCTGGAAGGTCCACTGGGCGCGACCAGGCATCGGGGTTTTGAGATTCGGGTTTCGGGTTCTGGGTTTCGGGAGCTCTTCTAGACCATGGGCCAGCTAGGAGCTCTAAACCCTTGCCCAGCTAGGAGCTCACCTTGGCGAGCTGGAAGGTCCACTGGGCGCGACCAGGCGGTATGAGACAGACAAACCCTGCCGTTGAGGGTTTGGGCTTTAGGGTTAGGGAGCTCATTTGCACTCTTGGCCAGCTGGCAGCTCACCTTGGCGAGCTGGAAGGTCCACTGGGCGCGACCAGGCGGTATGAGGCAGAAGACACTGCTGCCCCACTCGCTGTTGTCACCAACACTGGCACCATCATCACTATCACCATCAGCAGCACCATCAGCAGCACCAGAATCATCACCACCACTACCATCACCACCACCAGCACCATCAGCAGCAGCAGCAGCAGCAACACCACCACCATCAGCAGAAGCAGCAGCACGAGTAATTTCAGGCGCATCCCCCCGGACCCCTAAAGCCTCGTCATTGTCGTTCCGGAACACCACCGTCCACCCCTCGATGGCTGCTGCGTTGGTCGCGTAGATCTGGAGAGGAAAATGGGATGGGGGAGGGAAGGAGGAGGCGGAGAAGGGGCAGGGGAGAGGGCGGGGGTGTGGGGGTTGAGTGCTTTTGAGGCGCCTTAACATTTGGACCACCACCACCACCATCAGCAGCGGTAGTAGAAGCAGTAGCACGAGTTAATTCAGGGGTATCGTATCCCCCCGGACCCGGACCCCTGAAGCCAATTCGTTGTCGTTTCGGGACACCACCGTCCACCCCTCAATGACTGCTGCGTCGGACGCATAGAGCTGGGGGGGGGGGGGGAGTGGGGAGGGAGCAGACCGGGCATTATGTGGGATCTTTGAGATTCGACAAGTCTCAGAATTCGGACCCTACTAGGAGCCTCGTTATCACGGCGGAGCACCACCGTCCCACACCCTCAACCATCTCAACCAACCCCCACCCCTCTCAACCACACCCACCTCTATCAAGCACGTCTCACCTCTATCAACCACTCCTCACCTCTATCAACCACTTCTCCACCGGATAATTGTGGTGCAATCCTTCCTTGATCCTGAAGTTGTTGATGTCAGCCATGTTGGCCGCTGACGTCACCATCAGCACACGGATAGTGCGACCTCCATACGCAGGTGGGGCGGCAGCAGCAGCAGCAGAAGCACCTGAAAAACCACCTGACTCGTCGTCTGCAGGTACAGCGGCGGCACTAGCGGCACCAGCAGCAGCAGTGTGTGCAAGCAAGGGGGGGATGACGTGTGTCTGAGTCAGCAGGGGCGGCACCACCACATCCCGCCCCGGCGAATAGCAGGCGATGTCCGGAATACCGACGTTAACAGGCGCTCCGTGGTTATAAGACAGCACCTGCAAGGGGGAGAGGGGGAATGAGCACAGCAGCAGGAGTGGCACAGCTTTAGAGGAGCCTAAAAAAAGCAGGCGATGTTTGGAATAACGACGTTGATAGGCGTTTTGTGGTTATATGACAGCACCTGCAAGTGCCACGGCAGCGTTACCAGCGACCGCAGCATAATTGAGCATGGCAGTTGGCCGGGGACACGAGGTGCGTGCGACAGCATGGGGAGGAGGGGGAGCGAAAGAGGTGGCGAGGGCGGCGCGTGGGGGATGAAGACTAGGGAGCGGGGAAGGATGGAGGACGAGGAAAAAGGAAAGCGGAAGAGGGGAAAGGGGGAAGGGGGAGGGGGCGGGGAAGGGGGGTGTGGAAAGAAGACTGGGGGTGGTGGAACAGAAGAGGGGAGAAAGTGAGAAACAACCTTTGCACATGCTTTTTATTCGCTCAACAAAGATAAAATCTGGAATTTCCATTTACAGTGCCGTGAAGTTTAGACGCGATGCATACGATAAGAAAGCAATTAAATGGGTCGCTCACCCGCATCTGCATGTCTGGAGTCCATCCCGTGTGCACGCTCCGCACCAGACTATCCCCATTATAAGTCACGAAAAACATCTCGCCTAGCAACTTAGGATTTATGTACGTCAGCGCGTCGCATCTCCCGTTCCGCGTCGACAGAATTGAGAAATGATCTCGGCCGTTGGATCTGTAAAAGTGCGGCTCGCGCCGCACCTTGGCAAGCAATGCCATCCAGACCTGCGATGTCTTTTCCACCGCGTCGCGCATATCCGAACCTCCTTTCGAGACGCTTAGGTAGTACTGGAGCAGCCGGGCAGAGTAAAGTGGCACGAAGAACAAACTAGCCTGTTTCGGGTCGCGGGTTCGAACACCACCAGCGTCGGATAGAATCTGCTCCGTCAATTTCCGTTCGAGGTCGAAATGTAACGCGTACGGCGGAACGTCCAGCCCGGAGATGCTATCCGTACAGTTGGGCCCGAAATCGTACACGTATATAAACGGCTTCTTTTCTTCCGCAGCAGCCGCCGCGAGAAGCGGATTGAAAGTGTCTGCAGGACTATTCGGTAACCGCGCGTACACGTTATAAGCGTTCGCGTTCTCTATAAGCCGAATCGGAACAGTATTGCCGCCCCAGGGACGCTTAACTTCAGCAGCGGGCCAGAGCTCATTAACGGGGAAAACGCCATCAGGAGCTTCAGCACCTGCGATTTGACTGGAGCCTGTGCTGACGTCATTATCGCATATACAAGACGGCTGTTCTTGACGGAAGATGTACAGGGATGCAATAAGGCCGATAGTCGCAAGGACAACGACAGCGAGGCGATTCGAGAGGCTCTTAGGAGATAAGGGCGCGTCGGGCACAAGAGGGCTCATCGACATGCTGCCGGCTGCACAAACTGTTATCCAGAATCTGTCTCCCTCCTGGACGAGTCAAGTTTTCCGTTGTGAAAGATTAACCAGAATACCATTTGAGGCTTTTCATATGCTCCTACACGTTGTGCTGCTTCCGCTACTCGGCGACTGCGAGTCGTGTGCAAGGTTTGTGTGAATGGTGGCCCCTGGTATTCCCGAGCCTTTCTCCATGAATTCTGGCCCTGTTCGGTAGCCTTCCCAGTCATACTGTGGTTGGTGCGTGGGATCTTCTGTTTCCGAAATTCAAATCAATTAGAACCCAAAAAACCATTATTAGAACACCGAGCCTGTCCAGTGCAACTGGGCTACCGAAGGCATAAAAACCTACTTTAACTGCGTGTGAGGATACTACCACGAAACTGTCGCGCCCAGGCAAACTAGACAGTCAGTGGAAGTCCCTCCCATTTCTGCTTTCCAGTTCAACCCAGGCAGGCCCGCTCAGAATGGCAGACTGGAGGGTATACGCTGCACTAGTTTCGAATCGGGTCAAATTAAGGTTTTTTAGCACGCTCTTTCAAACGATGAGAGATCGTTCCCGTTCCTGATTTTCTTTTTCCATATCGACGGCTTTTCATTTGGCGGACTGATTTTCTGTTTGGCAGCCTCGAACAGCTGAAAAAAGTTTCGGCAAGTAATTTCCCAAGAAACATACGGTAACTTCTTGCATTTGGGAACGAGACTTCCTTTCAGAGTGAGTGGATGCCCGAGGCTACGAAACATGTCGTAGGCTTCCCCAGTTCGAGTGGGCCCAGTGTGACTGGAAGGCTACCGAGCAGGGCCTCTGTACCTCAGACCTTGCTGTGCTTGGAACAAACAGCTATTTCCATGACATTGTGTCCCTTGCAGCTCGTTGGATCAATCGTTTCAAAAAGGCTAGGTGGCGATCCCAAGCGGTAGCTCATCCAAACCACGAACCAACTGATTGTTGTGGGCAGGGCGCAGATGTGTTGCGAGCAGGTTTCATCGTTTCCGAGCCCTAAGTTCGTCATTACCAGACCAATGGAGGTTCGAAAACCTTGGTGAACCTAGGGGGCTCGTTTGGTATGGGAATGCGCGAATAGGAAGGGACGGAACATGTGTGTGATTGGTGACCTTCCAGCCAATCATGCTTCGATCATGTCACGACAAACAGAGCAGCTGGAGTGAAAAGGGAGCTCAGAAGTGCTTACGGCCTCGAAGTTTCATCGACGTATTGTACAGCTGGTGGACAAGAAACAGCAAAAAACAACTTACACAACACGACGTGGAAACGCCTGTGGCTGTCTCTCCAATTCTCACTGAATTTGTTTCGCAGATTTCTCTATAATCTTTGGATTGAGTTGAAGCTCCCCATTTGCCAAAGCGACGAATTCAGAGCAGGGTCCTGGGTTGAATGGTAAGTCCAGACATGTCCCAAGAATGAGGGATGGGGTATCAATGACAGCATCTTCTCAATCACTGGGAAACTACCTAGGTGAAACAAACGATTACCAGCTCCCAATATAGTATTTAATTCGCGGGATGTCTTACAAATTTGGCCCCCCAAAACATTTACGGACAATTTTCTCTGAATACTCCGTACATGAGATGGCGCTATGCAGCATTTAGAGTCGCTCGAATCAAACTAGGACTTCCAGATTCGCCTGAACTCCTGCGTTCATTTGTTTCTAACAGAAAACGCGTGAGGGACGTTCCCAAAACCAGTGCAGTACATAAGTCAACGTGAGACATTCATCATACAAAACAAAAATATATTTCTTCGGAAGTCCCGGAGGCTGAAAACTCCCCGACCAAGCCACCAAGTCTGGCTGAACCACACACTCATATGTCCCGAACCAAAGACCGAACCCAATCACTCTCACCCACGCCTCGAACTGACGCTTGACCCACCAACCATATCATTTTCATGGTCCACACCAAACAGCATCAAAGCTACACTTCTCAAACTAAATATGCAGGACGCACTTCCCTCGCGTCGCGGCTGTGTTTTTACATATACCACGAGCGACATCGCGTACTAGAATCGTCGAGGTGGTTAGTTTCTTCGAGCAGAAACTGTTCAGGCTAGGAGCAACACCGGTGAGACTGTCGACAGCTGGGAGATAAGGCAGCACCCAAATAAGCGACAACATCGAGGCAGGACTACTTCGGCGTATACTTAGTGCGCGCATCTCCGATATTGTCACGGCCCTCTCAAGCCCTAATTTTATCCAATCCATATTATTTTCAGGCTTGACACTTAGAATCTTCACCATTCCCGGACCGCGTCATGTTCTCGATTCAGATGCTAGTCCTGGACGTCTCTAAGATTAAAGTACAAGCCGCTAAGATGCAGCAGCAACTCTTAAGTACGAAGCGCGCTCCCAAGCTCGTCGTCTTTGTGGGCGTCGCGTCGCTCATGTTGATATTACTTCTGTGTAGTTCGCATTTGCAGCGGCAATCGCAAGACTGCTTCTGTCCAGACCTAGAAAATCCCGAGCAGTCCGCCGCCGCCGCCGTTTCCGCCTCGTCTCTTTCCAGAGACCTTCCCAGCGCAAGACGCGATTTAGAATCCCGTGGAGTTTCCGCCACCTCCGCCGCCGTTCCCGTTGCGGGAGACTCGCAGCCTTCCCCAGCAGCAGCAACAATCGGATCCGTCGCCGCGTTTTCCGGCGGGAACGACGGCGGTTCCGGGGCCAGTCGGGACGCAGCTCGCGACGATAGCAACCAGCAGTTTATTTACGTGTACGACACGCAATGGGCGTGGACGGACAAGATTAAAGGGCGCGCCAAGGAGTGGTATTCGGACCAGTATGACGTGGAATCGGTGGTGACGGAGCTGCTTATGCGCAGCAACGCGATTCGCACAACGGATCCAGAAAAGGCGACGCTGTTCTACGTGCCGTACTATTCGTCGAACCACATCTCGCATGTGAACAAGCTGATGAAGAACATGATGCATAAGTCGGTTGGGGAGGTTTCTAAGGTGCGCTCCTGAGTCTGCTTATATCGAGTCGAGCCACATCATGCAGCTGAACATGCTTATAAAGAGCATGATGCAGCGCTCTCCCCGTCCCCACCCGCACGCCCTCTCCTCGTCCCCCTCTCCCCCCCCCCCCCCCCCCCCCCCCTCCTCCTCGTCCTATCCCCTCACACCCTCCTTCCCCCGCAGGCGTGGCACGACATTCTCACCATGATTCGCCGCGACTTCCCCTACTTCAACCGCACCAACGGCCGAGATCACTTCAGCACGAGCACGTTCGATCACGGCCGTTGCCACGCGTTGACCTGGGTCAACCCCGACCTGTACGGCGAGATGTTCTTCGTGATGCTCAACGGGGACCGCCTCGCGCGCACCATGCACGCGTCTCAGGAGAGGAACTTGCAGGTAGGGAGGGAGGGTAACCTGCAGCGTAGTGCAAGTGCATTCGTGCATGCTCAGGAGAAGGTGGAGAGGAAAGTGCAGGAAGTATCTTGAAATAATAATAATGATAATAATAATAATAATAAACAAACAAACAAAAAAGTGCAGGAATGTTCTTACAATTTCCAAGAAATCTGCAGGAAGCTGCAGTCCCAAACAAGGAGAAATCGCTCATTAAGCTCATCATGCTACTAACCCCTCCCATCTCCCCTATTCACTCTTCCCTCTCCTCTCCCCTCCCCCCTCTCCCCTCTCCCCTCCCCCCTCTCCCCTCTCCCCTCTCCCCTCTCCCCTCTCCCCTCTCCCTTCTCCCCCCCGCTGCAAATCCTAATCCCCTCAATCCCCCACCGAACCCCCCTTTCCCCCTAGCTCCCCCCCACTTCACCATCCTTTCCCGACTTCCCCCGCTGCAAGGCATAATCCCCTCTACTCCATCTCCCTCTCATCCCAAAAGCTAATCTCCCATCTCCCTCTCCCCCTTCGCAGATCTTAGGGTACACCTACAACTCGCCACTGCAGACGCAGCTCCCTGACGTCCCATGCTACATGGGCTGATCCCCACATGCCTCTATCCCCCATAAATTCCCCCCATACCCCCCTGACCGAATGCACAGATAATAGGGTACACCTATAACGCGCCACTGCAGACACAGCTCCCTGACGTCCCCTGCTCCATGCCTCTATCCCCCATAAATTCCCCCCATACCCCCCTGACCGAATGTGCAGATAATAGGGTACACCTACAACGCGCCACTGCAGACGCAGTTTCCGGACATCCCATGCTACATGCCTGACCGTGACA